ACTGGCCGCTGCTGGGCAGTGCTGCTGTGACTCCTGCGTGGAGAGGCACAGACGCGCTCGCCAGGCCTCAGCGAGGCCCCGCAGACAGCACCCAGCTCTCTCTCCACCGGAGGTGAGAACACGCTCTCGTTGCTCGGGGCTTGAACTGCTGTGCCGGCCGGATTCCCTCCTGGGAGGGTGCCGTGGCCGCAGGCCTGCATGCGGCCCAGATTCCCGGTCCAGGCTGCGAGCCGCGCGGCCTGCGCCCGTCGGGGTGGCCTCGGCGCGCTCGGTGCCGGCCTCTCGGCCTCCGCCCGGCGCAGCTCTGTGATGACAGCTGTCTTTGTTGCAGGGTGTGGGACGCCCTGACGGACAATTACATCCCTTCTCTCTCGGAGGACTGGCGGGACCCGAACCTCGAGGCTCTGAACGGCAACAGCTCTGACGCCGAGGTACCTCTGCGGGTCCACCCTGGCGGGGCGCGATCCAACGTGGAGCCGTGGGGGGACACTCGCTCACCAGTGTTCCTCAGAAGGCTGTGGGGCGAGCACGGCTCAGATCATGCTGGGAGGGTAGGAGTGGGCGTTCGGGCCCTGTGTGCGCAGAGACTGGATGTGAGGTGGCCGTCTGTCCCAGGGCCCGTGCCGGGAACACCTCGCCGATCTGAGCACAACACGCCAGACAAGGTCACCCAAGGAAGAGCAGGAGGGTGGCCGTCAGGGCATGCCGTGCCTTCGGGTCACGGTGGCCCGAGCGAGGCAGCTTTCCGTCTAAGACGAATGGTTCCGTCGCGTGGGGACTGCCGAGAGCAGGCGCTGGCAGAACCCAGCGGGTCCTGCAGCCTGGACGGGCTGAGGTGGGGCCACTGCTAGCGAGGGATGCTAGGTGTGGACCGAGTCGGAGCATGGCCACTGAGGCCATGGATGCGGCAGCTGAGAGCTCAGAGCACCGCGAGGGCTCCGCGGCAGGGCTTTCCGGAGGGGCCGAAGTGGCCGTGGTTCTGGGGCCTGTGAGGGGTACTGGGAGCTGGGGCTGCCCGAGGGGGCCTGGAGGGAGGCGGTTTCTTCCCAACCTGGAGGCCACAGCCCAAGACAGGCGCCAGCAGGGGCAGGACAGCTGCTGGGAGACCTGGTGTCCTTCTGCTCACGCGAGGGACAGCAGGGTCTCCTCACAGGGCGCTCTGCCACCTGCGAGCCCCGCACCCGTCTGATTGCTCATGCGAGGGACAGCGGGGTCTCCTCACAGGGCGCTCTGCCACCTGTGAAGCACCCCCAGGCTGATTGCCTCCCAGGGCTTTGCCCCCTGAGCCCTCACCCAGGGGACACGGTCACTGGGGGGCACATGGAATATGGACCCTAGCAGAGGAAACTCATGGGCCCAGTCATGCCAGGGCGTGTCTGCCTGTGTTCTCCGGTTTGGGCTGAGAGGAGCCCATCCTTGTCTGGAAGGGCTACCCCCCATCCTGGGCTCGTGGTGACTGGGGTGGGGTGGGCTCACCCCAGGTCGCAGGGTCCAGTCCCGACCGGAGCGAGGAACGGCCCTAATGAGGCAGCCTCGGCGGCATGCAGGCCCAGGAGGGCGCAGAGGGCGCAGAGGCCGCAGCCGCCTGGTGTGGCTGGCCCCGAACCCAGGTTCGTCACGGCAGGGGTGGCTGGGCCCAGTCCGCGCCCGCCCTGGGCAGAGTCCGAGATGGCGTCTCTGGCCTGCTCTGGACCCGGGCGGGAGCTCCCCCAGTGCCTCACACCTGCAGCGCCCGAGCTACAATGGCCTGGAGCCGTCAGGCCGCTGCATGGAGGTGGGGGTGGGGGTGGAAGCCCCTGCCCCTTCACACCCGTTCTGGGAAGTGAACTCGCGCTGCAGACGGGTGCACGGTCATCCTCACTGCCGGCTCCCCGAGGGCACGTGGCGAGGCCGTGAGCTGCCCGGCCTCTTCTCACACCTCAGGGAGAGCTATGAACAGCCTGGCTGTGCCCCTCCGCTTTGTGGTCTGGGTGGATCACAGCAGAGGCTCCTTGGCTGACCCCACATGCTCAGTGATCCCCGCTCACCCTCGGTGTGCGAGTGCCCTTTGTGTGCGGGTACGCTCCGTGTGCGCGTGCCCTCCGTGTGTGGGCGCCCTCCGTGTGCACGTGCCCTCTGTGCGTGGGCGCCCTCCGTGTGTGGGTGCCCTTACCGGTTCTTGGTGTGTGGGCGCCCTCCGTGTACGAGTACCCTCCGTGTGCGGGCGCCCTCTGTGTGCGGGTGCCCTCCGTGTGCAAGTGCCCTCCGTGTGCGAGTACGCTCCGTGTGCGGTGGGCGCCCTCGGGCAGCAGGCTCCTCTCTGGAGAGCCCTCACCCTACCGTTTAAGTGCACCAGCTGGGCAGCCCGTCCCCCAGACCTGTCTCCACTCGTCCCCACTGACCTGATGGGGTGGGTCCAGAGTCACGCCTGCTTTGTTAAAGTCGAGGCAGGCACACGCAGTCTGAGAGCAGGTAGCCCTGCAGGGACAGCACGTGGCAAGAGCAGGGCTGGGGAGACACAGCCCTTGCCCTCGCCCTCGCCCTCGCCCTCGCGTCTTTGGCGTCCCTCCGCTGCGGTGTTACCAAAGCCCCCAGCCCAGGTCACTTACAGAGAGGGCCATTAGGCCCACGCCCCGGCAGTTAGGGAGCCTGAAGGCCCAGGGCTGGCATCAGACCGGCTACCGCACGTGGTCCACAGGAGCCGGGCGGGCACGCAGAGACCGGGCAGCCGTTGTCCTCCGGGAACAACCGCTCTGGCGTCAGTCGGCCCTTCTGAGAGCGAGGACTCGCTGGGCCTCTCAGGGACAGAGCCGTCCGCTCCTGAGCCGTCAGCACCCACTAGGCTGCTCGCCTCCCCACACTGCCTCGGGGACCAGATTCCAAACACAGACCTCGGGGAACAAACTGTTCTCCAAACTGACTGGTACATGTCTCATTTCTAATGGCCCCTTGTGTTGTTATTTACTTGTTTATTTTTAACTTACTTGCCCAGAGAGACAGAGAGAGAGAGAGAGAGAGAGAGAGAGAGAGAGGGAAAGTGAGAAAGCAAGCCACCAGGTCCAGGGCTTGAACTGTAGTTGGCCAAGTGGGAGTGACCAGCACATTAACCACCATGCCACCTGCCGGTCCCCAGCCACAGCACACAGACCACGGTACACAGGCCACGGCACACAGGCCACGGCACACAGGCCACGGCACACAGGCCACGTGGGGGCCCAGAGCCAGCAGGAGGTGTGGGGGCCCTTGGGCAGGCACGGCGGCGTGGGAGGGGCAGGTCGGAGTAATTCCGGAAGCTCTGAGACACAGGGGTCCAAGGTGCTGGCGCTGGTCCCTGGCAGTGGGTGACTCGTGGCGAGAACAGCGCCCCCTGGGGCTACGGATAGAAGGGGTTAGTGTGCATGTCAGAGGTGCACGCTGCTGGCGCTTGGGCGTCTGTAGGAATCAGCCAGCCTGGGTGGTATACGGTGTCCTCAGCAGATTCGTAAAACGCTGAGACATCATCGCGTACAGAAACTAATGTGCATACCGCATGGTTGAGAACATTGGTGCTCCGGCCAGCCGGCGTGGCGCTGAGGTCCTGTGGTGCCCTGCGTCCTGCTGCTGCTGGTCTGCGGGCAGTGGCCGTCCTGGGCGCCTTCTCTCCAGCCCTCTGCCGGCCCATGTTTACCTTTCTGGGGATAGAGCTCCATTCTGGTGGGAAAAGCAGTCATACATCCTTGAGAAAAGGCAGCAGAGGGACATGCCTGCTGGACTGTCTGAGACATCTTTACCTGTTCCCGCGAGGCTCTGGGCTGCAGAAAAGTTTCTGTGGGACTCTGACTCCCTCTGGCTGCCGTGGGAAGCCACATCTGCCACATCTCCTCAGGTGCGGCCCTGGGGTCCTTCCTAGAGCATGGCATGTTCCTTCCCTCTCACACCTGCCCTAGCACCGTGCGTGCCCGGCACCTCCGCCCACCCCTCGGTGCACGAGGTGGACCCAGGCATGTGCCCGGCACCTCCGCCCACCCCTCGGTGCACGAGGTGGACCCAGGCGTGTGCCCGGCACCTCCCGTCCGGTCTCTGGGTGGTGCGCACTCCCATTTGTTTCGGCTGGAAGTATGGGAGCGGACGGCTGAGCCGCGGGGAGGTGAGCGTCGCTTTAAGGAGCTGCCAGGCTGTTTTCCAGGGTGAGGGCCCCACCGTCGTCCTCACTGCCGCCTGTGGACGAGCCTTCTGGAGCAGACTTTGCGGCAGTCTGCATTTCCCTAGCAGTGCGGCGTGCTCAGCATCACTTCGCGCGGTTGTTCACGTCTGTGGAAGTGCCCGTTCAGACCTTTGTCCGCTTGGCCAGTGGGTGTTTGTACTCTTGTTATTGATGTGTGAGATTCCTTTACCCGCGATGGAAATCCTTTGTCAGGTATGTGTTCTGTTTCCATTTAGAAATTTCATTTTTGTTTTATTTTTTTAAAGGTTTTTGCCATAGGACGTGTACACTCGCCAGAGAGAGAGACAGAGAGACAGAGAGAGACGGAGGAATCACTGCCGGGGGACGGCATGCCCTCATTTCCTGTCCTCCATCCTCCTCTCGGGATCTTGGCCATGCATGCATGTGCACCTGGCATGGATTTCAAGCCACTGGGTCTAGGACTTGAACCACAGTTCACCATGTGGGAGTCCAACACCTTAACCACCACACCACCTGCTGGCCCTGTATTTTATCTTTTTAATATGATGAACTATAGATAAGAAGATGAAGTTTATCTTTTTAAAAATTTTATTTATTTATTGGAGAGGTTTTTGCTATAGGGTGCATGCACTCACCAGAAAGACGGAGAGAGACAGAGAGACAGAAAGCAAGAAATCACCCACCAGGGGGGATGGTCACGCCGCCATCCCTGCTCCTCCATTCTCCTCTTGGGATCTTGGGCACACACGCACACGCACCTGGCATGAGTTTAAGCCACCAGGCCCGGGACTCGAACTGTGCGGTTGGCTACATAGGAGTCCAGTGACATAGTCGTTATGCCAACTGCTGGTCCCTGGAATTATTTATTTTTTAAGCATCTGATGGACTGCACCATCCATGCTTGGCGTTCCCTCCGTGGAAAACTTTTGATTACAAATTCAGTTTCTTGAATAGATAAATATAGGGCTATTTATAGTTTCTATTTTTTCCTGAGTCAGTTGCTTTAAAACTTCTCTTAGTTGCCAGAAGATGCATATGCTTGCCAGAGAGGAGAGGGGAGAGAAAGCAGCCCTCAAGGGGCGTGGCCATGCCTCAGCTCCTCCTCCGTTTCTGCCCTCAGCTGGGGTCTGCCCTTGGCCGGGATCTGCCCTCAGCCGGGATCTGCCCTCGGCCGGGGTCTGCCCTCGGCCGGGGTCTGCCCTCGGCCGGGATCTGCCCTCAGCTGGGGTCTGCCCTCGGCCGGGGTCTGCAGCCTGCACATGCAGCCAGGTGTGCTTGTTGAGCTGAGGCTGGGATTTGAACCGTGCAGTTAGCCATGGGCTGTGTGGCTCCCTTGACCACTGTGCTGTGGGCAGCCCGATACCGTCAGCTCTGTGTGACGTACTAGCAGTTCTATCATTTGGTACATACACTTTTCTTAAACTTTGGGACTGTTTCACTTAACCTCATTTTAGTATGTATGTACTCAAGCTTGCTCTCCTGTGCGGCTTTGCACTCCTGCCCTCCTTGTCCTGTAGGCGCTCGGCCATGTTATCTAACAAAGCTTCTGTGGTACCCTCACTCAGACACAGGGCACTGCCCAGCCCCGCCTCCCCCGCCCCTCTGTGCCGCCGTCTGTGCCCCCTCTCAGTGCCCTCACGTACCGGCATGCGTGGTTTTGGCTTCAGACCGTAGCTGTCTTTCCCTTTTTTAAAAGAATTATTTATTTAACTTTTATTTGTTCATTCATTTATTTTAATTTGACCAGAGAGAGACACAGAGAGACAGAGAGCAGGCAAGTGAGAAAATAAGCCACCAGGTCCAGGACTTGAACCATGGTCAGCCATGTGGGAGCCCAGCACCCTAACCACCACACCACCTGCTGGTCCCTGCAGCTCTCTTTTACTCTTTTTCTGCCCACTGTTTACACTCTGGCATCTTTCCTCTGCCTCGCAGAACCCCCCTCTTCCTCTCAGCCCAGCCCTCGCCAGCATTTCCGAGGAGCGGGCCCGTGGCCAGCCCTCCCAGGGTCCCTGAGCCTGTGTTTTCCTGCTCTCAAGGACCGCAGCCTCGTACTGCCTGTGTCCAGGGCCTGTGAACAATGGGCCACAGATCCTGTCCACACACCCCGGCACTGGAGGAGGGTCCCGAGGACAGAGCCTGCCTTTCACAGCGTGGTCAGGGACAGCAGGACAGAGTGGGACAGAGCAGGACAGAGCAGGACAGAGCAGGGGGGGGGCAGCCCGCGACAGACAGCGCCCACGGCACAGCCCTGTTCCTCCGTCCGTCCGTCCGTCCTGCCGGCATTGGGGCACAAGCGCACATGCCCGCGTGCTGTGAACTGCAGGGGGCATAGTCGGCCCTGTGGTTCTGGCTCCCTCATGGGTACACGCACATGCCCGCGTGCTGTGTGAGCTGCCGGGGGGCAGCGTCGGCCGTGGGCTCTGGCCCCCTGGACTACCAGGGCTCGGGCTGGCCTGGGATCAGACAGTGGTGGCCCTGACAAGGGGGAGGATGTCCAGGACTGTAAGCGGGCTGTGCTCTCCCCCGCGGCCACAGGCTCTGTGCGTGGAGCAGAGGCGTTGATGAGCTTGCACGGACGCTTCTGTGTTAGCCATGAGCTCTGGCCCTCGGGCTGGGATGCATGGCCCAGTTTGGTTTTTTGTGGTATAGGGAAATACAGTGCAAAAGGCCAACCGCGCCACACGCCCCTTCACTACGGGTGGGAGGGCCCGCAGTGCTTAGACACAGTGGCTGGGTGGTGATTACAGGGCTGACGTAACCGCAGCCCGTCCAGGCCCCGTGGACTCACATGGACTCCAGAGCAGGCTCTCTGGGGCGCTCCGGTTCTGGGCTGCTCTGCTGCCCTGAGGCCCCTTCTCCGTCCAGGAGAGGCATCAGGCCCTCTTCTGGGTCTTTCGCCCCGAGGGGCCAAAGATGCACACTGGCCGGTTGAAGCAGGAGGGCTCTGGACTCGGACAGCAGCCCCTGGCGTAGGAGGGGGCATTTACCTAAGCCAGGGCAGTGTGGCCATCTGCCCACCCAGCCCACCTGTCCAGGCTCGGTGGCCAGGATGACTTAGGATCCCAGGGGTGGGATTTGGGGGCCAGGGCCAAGGTGTGAGTGGACCTTCCTTTCACTCTCCCCCACGGTGCTCCAGCTGCCAGCCGGCTCACAGGCAGGGGTCCGCGGCACGCACCTGCACAGACTTTTTTTTTCAGGCCTGGGACCTGGTCTCCGGACACGTCCTCATTCTGCAGCTGCGGCTGTTTGGATGGCAGCCCCCACCTGCCCCCACCCCACCCTGCACCTGCCTGGAGGGTGACACCAGGAACTGACCCGATGGAGCCATGGGCACCCAGTGTGCCCTTGCCGCAGGGGCCACGGCACGCCGGCGGCCGACCTGCATGTGGGCGAGAGGACAGGGCCATCCCAGAGTCAGGACCTGCTGGCCACTTGTCGGCAGGCTGGATCCGAGGCGCACGTGCGTGGGGCCTGGAGGGGACACCGGGTGGCTTTCACTCCCACCACACAGGGCCGCGAAGCTGGTCTCCCAGTCGGGGCTGTCCATCTGCGGCCAGAAGGCGTCCTTGTGTGCTGCAGGCCACTCAGTGTCCCCGTCCCCCAGGTCCACGAGAAGGACGAGGAGGAGTTCAACGAGAAAAGTGAGCATGACTCCGGCATCAACGAGGAGCCCCTGCTCACGGCTGACCAGGTACACACTCCCCTCGGTCCTGGGAGACCTTCTGCTCTTCCGCCCATGACCGCGAGTGCGAGACCCTACACCACGCCCGTTACAGCGGGACTCAGAATGCCTCTGACGGGGTGGGTGGCTCTGCCCCAGTTTCCCCAACCACTGTGGAAGGTCACACTTGACACTCGGGTGGGGGGGGTCTGTCTTTGTGGTGGCCAACTTCTGCTAAGCTCTCCCTGGTTCGTGCCTAGGGTCAGACCAAGGGCCCAGGGCCGCGCCTCCCAACGTGGGAAGGGCCCAGGAGGCCTCGTGAGGCCTGCATCTCCCCCACCCTCAGAGCAGGGGCCCTCCAGGTGCTAGAGGGTCCTAGAGACACTTCTGTTGGGACGAGGATGCGGTGCTTCCCCAGGTCGATCCTCGGGGTGGCGCCGGGCCTCTGGGCACCTTCCCCAGCTCTCACTCAGCGAAGGGTGACGGGTGCTGGGTGGACGGCTGCACGGGTTTGCTGTCGCAGCCTTGCTGCAGAGGTGCCGGCTGAAAGGTGGGGACCAGTCAGGACGAGGACATCGAAGGGAACCTGGTGAGATGGACAGGCTAGCATGGCTCTGGGAGTCCCGCTGTGTGGAGGTGACTGTGCTTGGAGAGGCGTCCCCATAGCCCTGCACTGGTGCCATTTGGCCACTCCCCGCGGGTCCATGCAAGGCTTCCGGGCCTGACACCAGGCGCCTCGGTCGTGAGCAGAGGTGAGAGGCTGGGGACGAACCAGAGTCAGGGCCGTTCCCCAGGAGCAGACCCTGTGACCCTGCCTTTGTCCTGCCGCACAGAGACCATAGCCCAGTGGCCGCGGAGGTGGGTCCATCAGGCAAGAGCCGGCCCACGCGCGGGCCGGGTCTCAGCAGGGGTTCTCGGCCATCTTCTGCCCCCAGACCCGATCCGTCTTCGTCATTCGGTGTGTGCGTGGGAGTACGAGCAGTGGGGAGAGCACCTCCACAGCTCAGGATGCCCGACCCCTCTCTCCTGCTCTCCACCGTGGGGTCTTGGATGCTCACACGGCCTGGCGCCGGCCCGAGCGGGTCAGCACGTGCGGCCCGGCTCCTGAGCAGTGCCTTACGCTGCGCCCTGGAGGCAGGCGCATCCCATCTCGCTCACTGCCAGGCAGCTGGAGTCCCGGCCTGGGAAGGCGCCGTTCTCTTCCCACCCTCAGCTGCTCCAGGACTCCCGGCTTTCTGTCGGGTATCGTGACAGCTAACAGACGGGGTTTCGCGTTAACGCGGCGGACACGGCTTCCCCTTAGAGGTGAAGTGCTCGGCACACGGGGCACACCCCCTTCAGGACCATCCTGCTGTGTCCTGGAAGAGGGGGTTTCCGGCGCGGCCCCCAGCGGAGTCCTGCACGCCGCCATTATAACCCAGGACCTGCTAGGGAGCAGCATTGCTTTAGGGATTTTGCGCACAGCAAGCTAGGAACATCCGCCCTTACTGATCAGAATCCAAGCCGGGGCTAGCAATGGTGTGGTTGGGGAGCTGTATTCCCAAATGGCCGACTGTGGTTCGAATCCTGGACCTGGCAGCTTAAAATGACAAGCTTAAAAAGACAAAAAATAAATAAAGAATGAATTATTAAAAAAAAAAAAAAAAAAAAAAAAAAAAAATAATAAAAAAAAAAAAAAAAAACAAAGCCAGAATGCCCCAGCAGAGAGCGGGGTGTCCCCTTGTGTCCCCTCAGGTCATCGAGGAGATCGAGGAGATGATGCAGGACTCCCCGGACCCTGAGGAGGAAGAAGGGGTCCTGGAGGAAGAGGATGGAGGGGAGACCTCCTCCCAGGCGGACTCAGTCCTGCTGCAGGAGATGCAGGCCCTGACTCGGACCTTCAACAAGTGGTCCTACGAAGGTGAGGCCCGAGCCGACACCGCCGGGTGAAGGCCCTGTGGCCCCTGGCCTCCCGGCTTCCGGAGCTTGCAGCTCTCCGGGGCTGGCCGCAGTGGGAGAGAGTTTAGCGTCTGAACAATTCAAACACAAGGGGCAGTTGAACAAAGTGTAACTGGGCCAGAGAGCAGACTAAAGCAGACAGGCAGAGAGACCTGGACCGCAGCCCAAGCAGGGACCACCCCGTGGACAGGGGAGGCGGTGCGGGTCTCGGGACCTCCCTTGGTGCTTGCCATGGCCGGGCTGTGCCAGCATTTCTGTGCGTTGCTCCTGTGGCTCCTCGGCCCCACAGCACCGACCGAGTCTCTAGACCTGAAGGATGTGGGGGTCTTCAGGAAGCTCATGGAAAAGGCATATTATGAAAAACTATGGATTTCAAAAAGTTTGCACCGAAGTAAACTGGAAATCTCACCTTTTCCCATTGCCAGAAGGCAGGTGTGCTTGCCAGACTGAGAGAAAACACCCGCCAACGGGCTGTGGCCACGCCGTCCCCCCGGCTCAGTCCCAGCTCCTCCAGCCACCGGGGCTGGGGCTCAAACCGGCCGGCCTGTGGGACCCAGCTCCCTACGCACAGCCCTCACCGGCCGCACTACGGAGCCGGCTCCAACCCATATTTTAATTCCTTTTCCACAAAGTTGTTGAAGTCCCCTCATAAATGGAAAAGCAGCTCTCCCTGCCCAGGGAGCACCCAGGTGGAGAGGCGGCATTATCACCCAGTTGGCACTGGGTACGCAGGGCGAGCCTCACAGGCACCCGCGGACGCAGGCAGACCAGGAGCCCCGCGCAGCTGCGGCCAGCGCCGTAACCGTGGTAGGCAGTATGGAGTGGGAACATCACGCCCTGCCTGGTCCTACACCTTCCCAGCGGCCATCCAGGTCTGAGGAGGCTGGGAAGGTGTAGGCCATTTAGCAGGACGCAAATACACCTGAGAAGGACCAGGCAGGACACAGAGAGGCTGGGCGGCAGCCCCCTCCCGTCCTTGGGTAGGAGAGGCGCCCTACTCTAGGCTCAGGGTTGCGGTAACCGTGGGGCCCAGGTCCAGGCAGGCGCAGGCAGGGTTGAGGCACGGCAGGGCACAGGGCTTGCTGCCTGGTGCAGGTGCCCGGCCGGGGCCAGCCAGGGGACGGGTCCCAGCAGCTGGCGTGGTGGGACAGAGGCGTGGCCTGAGGGCCGTACCCAGAAAGTGAACACTGGCCCTCGGGGCTGGTAGGACCGGGCAGCAGGAGACTTCCCAGGGTCCCACTGCCCAGTCAGGTCATCTGGGCCACACGAAGGCCCTCAGCATGGCGTAGCCAGCAAAAGGCTGTGGGTGTGGCCAAGCACAGTGAGTGGCCCGAGGGAGGGAGGGAGGCGGCCCTGAGGGTGAAATCGGGGTGGGGTGGGCCCGGTCAGCAAGCCCTCGACAGGGCAGGAAGGGGTGGGTGGAAGCCGCTGGCAGACCCTGGGGTGGGTGCAGGTCTCGTCCTGCCCCTGCTCCCCCCACCCCTGTTCCGCCCCTCTGAGAGAAGGCACTGCTCGGCCACACCTCCACCCTGCGGCATGCAGCCAGCCAAGGTGGAGGCCTGCCGGCTCCCCAGCTGAGCTGATGGTCCTGGGAGGGGACCGGAGCTCTAGCGCTCTTCAACGCGGGGCCTGATCTCGTCAGTGCATCCCCAGGCCCTGACCCAGTTCACCGAGGAGTAACACGGAGAGAGGACACAGAGCCGGGGTCAGCCGCCGCCCGAGGGGCCCAGGGTGTGGGCTGGGACCCCTCCTGGCCGGGAGAGCAGCGTTCTTTCACGCTGCCCTCGCCCCGGGCCCGGGCACTCAGTGGCCGTGGCTGCCGGGGCCGCTTTCCCCGTAGGGCTGAGGCACATGTCCGGGGCTGAGCTGGCCGAGCTGCTGGACCAGGTGGAGGGCGCCATCCGTGCGTTCTCGGAGGAGCTGGTGCAGCAGCAGGCCCGCCGGGACGAGCTGGAGTTCGAGAAGGAGGTGAGGAACTCCTTCATCACGGCGCTGCTGGAGGTCCAGAGCAAGCAGAGGGAGCAGCGGGGCCTGCTGAAGAGGCAGCGCAGGGAGAAGGGGCTGAGCCTGCAGAGTGGCCGGGCGGAGCGGGCCAGCCAGATGCCCCTCAAGGTAGGGCCCCAGCCAGAGCCGCTCCCAGACTACCCGGGGACTGTGAGCACCCCCAAGCAGAAGACAGACCTCGGGGTGCGGGGCGGGGGGATGGGGTGGCATGTGCGGAAGGCGAAGGAGGGGCTGGGCGAAGACCTGAGGCCCGAGGTTCTCACCCCGCCCAGCGTCTCGAGAAGTTCCGGCCGCATCCTGGATCCTGAGCCCAGCCTCTGGTCGTGGACCCGGGGCAGGAGCCTGGACAGCAGGGCTGCACCACCTGGCAGGGCGGGCGGGCACGGAGGGCCCTGCTGCACCGCCCTGAGTGTCCGTGTCCCGCAGCGTTTCAGCATGGAGGGCCTCTCCAGCATTCTTCAGAGTGGCATCCGCCAGACCTTCAGCTCCTCGGGGACCGACAAGCAGGTGTGGACAGCTCCCCAGTTCTTGCAGGGCCCCCCACAGAGCAGGCTACTGGCTCCCCAGAATGACCCCGGCATCGAGGTGGGAGTGGCGGGGTCCCGACATTTTCTTCTCTCCTCACCACGGGGGTGGAAGTGTCCTTCCAAAAAGGTGGGCGTTTGGGCTGACCCTAAGCGCTGTGCACAGGGGTCCCCCATGCCAGCCCAGGGTGCCCGACGTCTGGCCCACATGGCAAGATGGAGAGAAGGGCAGCTGTGCTCCCGAGCCGGGGCTTCCTCTCTGGCCAGCACACGTGCCCCCAGCAATGACAAAGAACAGATGAACTTGCAAGTTCCGATCCCCACTGTTCCAGGACACAGACAAAGCTTAAACGCACCCCTGCCTGTATATCCGTGGATTAAGTTGTTTTAGGCACAAAATGCCCTAAGGGAGACCCCCTGGCAGTCACTAGGCCTCAGGACAGGGACACTCCGGTGTCGGCCAAGGCAGGTCGCAGTGGGAGTGTGGCAGTGCATGTGTAGCCTGCCTGGAACCGGTGCCGAATCCTGGGGCTACCGCAGGCTAAGCCGTGCCGGACCGTGGTCCCCGCCCGTTCCTCTAGCTCACCCTGCCCGCCTGCCTGGCTCCCCGCCTCCTCACCGCTGTGG